TCCCTTTTATTTTCTAAATGAGGAGTCAGGTAAGAAGTGTAAAAATCCTAGAAATCTCCCCTTCCTAGTGTTCAGGATTCATGTCCAAATACTTTTATTGACCAGAAGCTTGACACTTAGGGCTAAATTAGGTTCTAAACGACAGACATTCTTAAGTCCTTTGTTCTGTCTGATGTGGCCGTTGTGGGTTGGCCCTCTGTGCTTGGACACACTGACACCTGTTTTCACAGATGGGTGGGGGCACACCGGTCCTTCACGCCTTCTCACCAGCATCCTCTCCCTTTCTTTAGTCAGCGTCCTGTCCCCAAGTCGCCTAGTTTCACCCCCACTGTTGGGTAAGGAATCTTCCTTCCACTGACAGCTCCGGCGTCTGCCCCAGGCGAGGGTGAAAGGCAGAGTCTATTTTCTGCCTGGGCCCCAGGATGGCCCTGGCCTGATTGCCACCTTTGACAGCCCGGCACATCCCAGCCGACTCGTGATCTGACGTAGGTGCTGAGCCTGGCTGGACTCCAGTGGTTCTGCTGTTCCTCTTACAGTTGGGAGGGAAGGGGAGTTCCTTGTGTTGAGAAAGCTGGGGATTGTGGGCAGACGGATATTTCTGTGCATCAGGGAAGCTCTCTTTCCCCTTGTCACGGTTCCAAGAAGGACGTGCCTGCCTAGATGCTACAGTGTTGTTGCAACATCCTCTAGTGACAAAGCACTACTTCCTTTTCCAAATCACCCACATCTTTCTTCTGCTCATGGCTTAGGGTAATTTCTCATAGTACTTGAATTATATTAATAACATATCATTTAGAAGAGTTTCAGATTTAAGAATCCCATGTTTATCAAGTTGCTTAATTTAAGATGTGCAAGATGTGTACGAATGAAAAAGCACGGATTTTACAAATAATGAACCATAAAGCCCAGCCAGGGGAAGGGTAGCCTGAAAGGCATATATGATGGTTTTGGCCCTCGACTTGATATCAGGGTCAGTTTAGGTCTAAGACAAGCATGGTGGACATGGAGTTTTATAAATATATAAAGGCTAAATAAACTGCGTACACTTGGACCATACTGACTCCGGACAACACATACCCTTTGACCCTGTGGGCATCTGGTGTTTGCAGTGCTCTTTAAGTTGGTGTAAATAGCAGCTACTTTTCTCCATCTTAACCTTGAATTTAGAAGTGCAGTGTTCTGAAGACTGAGATCTCCCATGGCAGCATGCAAAATCCTCTGGGAGCTTAATAAAACAAAACTCCTGGGCTCGCTCAGGAGATTCCTGCTCAACAGGGATGAGGTGAGACCCAGGAATTTGTTATTAAATTTGTAATTAAAACAATAGCCCCCTAGCTCTGGTCTTGGAAGTGGAAGGAAAGCCACCTCAGAGGCAGAAGGAGACGACAACCCAGGACAAGCTACACCTAGAAAGAAGGGGAGAAGGAGGAGGAAGGTTAGGA